CCCCCCCCCTCCTGATAAGGTCAATTTTATCGGGAAGCACATTAACATCTACTATATTCAACAAGTAGTAGCCAGAAAGGAGAGAAAAATATTCTTTCCAATAGCTTAAGAAACATCGGTCCTAGTTGTGCCTGAAAGCTAGAATTGATAATACAGGAACTCAGTAGAGATGGAACAGGACTTCTGCAATATATAGCATTCTTATGCTTTTCCTTTTCGACAAATATGTTACATATATTCTTGTGACCATCTTTTCCATAACTTATAAGCATGAATTTTGCATCTTATTTTGTACTTATTGCATCTTCTTGATGCCAATAATGAAACAAATTACTCCATCAAAAAGAAAATAAAAGGTACCATGATGAAGATTAGCATACAGGCTGAGAGAGAGAGAGAGAGGGAGGAGGGAGTGAGAGCATAGCACAAACCAACTGAACGAATGGATTAGAGAAGAGAAGACAACGTCCGTTCCTCCAAGCAAAGGAGTCATATCAAATTTAGAGTTCTTCTCGAAACATCTATTCACAGACTTCGTAAGAATAAGTATCATCTGCATTCATATAACAATTGATATATGAGGAATTGCATCCATATGTCAGAACAATTGGCAGTCAATTAACATGCCAAGGAAAACTATGACAATAAAGCAACAGGAAAAAGAGAAAAGAAAAAGAGCGACTTACCTGACCATAGAGGAGCTCTAGTTGTACCCTCAATGACTGATATGACTCTTCTGTACAGCTTATGCAAACCAAGTAAATAGGTCCTTTCACAAGAAATACAACCTGAAACACAAGCCTTAAATGTCTGTTAAACAAGAAAACACAAATCAGGCAGCACCCTTTCAACAAAATGCTTAAGCAGAAAAGTTTTATGTTAAGTTGCCTAATGTTGCAACTCAATTGCTAATATTACAAACTCTTCCTAGGTGACCACTCACTTGCAATGCCAAACAGTGTTGGATATCTTTTCTTTCCTTCCTTCTTTCTTTTGATGCCAATTCGAAACAATAACATTCAAGCATTTAAAAAAATAACTTACAGGATGGGCGATGGAAGGGGAATAAGCTTTTGGAATCAAAGGCGGTGCGGACAGAATACTCTGAGGGCCTCTTTCCCTAACGTCTTCAGTGTCTCAAACCAGAAGGAAATGACAGTTCAACAGATTCGCAAGGAGCATGAAGGGGTGGTAGTGTGGGACCTATCTTTTAGAAGGAACATGCAAGATTGGGAGATCGAGGAACTCCAAGACCTGTTGGCACTACTACACGGGCAAGGCACGCACCACCAATCTAGTGATTCTTGGAGATGGGGGTTGCGTGCCGATGGTTTCTTCACCGTCAAGTCTTTCTACCAGAGTTTGCTTGTGAGGGGGGAGGCCACTTTTCCTTACTCATCGATATGGATCCCTAAAGCGCCCACGAAGGTGTGTTTTTTTGCATGGTTAGCAGCGAGGGGTGTGATCTTGACAGCAGAAAATCTCCGCAAGCGAGGAATTACACTTGTGAGTTGGTGCTACATGTGCAAAAGCGCAGGGGAAGAAGTGGATCATCTTTTGTTGCACTGTCGTGTCTCCTCGGCCTTGTGGAGGGTTATATTACATCTTTTTGGTGTCCAATGGGTGATGCCAAGCACTGTTAAGGAAATGCTACAGAGTTGGGCAGGTCTACGCAGGCGAGGAAAACAAAAGGCGTGGAAGTTCGCACCGCTAGCTCTCATGTGGATAGTTTGGAGGGAGCGAAATAGGAGAGTTTTTGAAGGAATTGAATCACCTTTTTTAAATAATAGTAACAGTCTTTTATCTTTGCTTGCTTATTGGTGTACTCATGTAGCCCCCACTTGTGTGGATCTTTGGGCGTCTTTGTAGAGAATCATGTTCTGATGTAAATTCTCTACTTTTCTGAATAACTCTGTTAAAAGGGAATTTTCCCTTTCTATTGGATTAATACAATTTACCTTATCAAAAAAAAAACTAGCATGAACATCCACAACCACTAGGCAATAATCCATGCAACTTCGAAATTTCCGAGCATGAAATGTCATAGATGAAGGTGAGGTGTCGACAATGCAAGAAAGCACAAGTTCCATCATCATTGCATTATGGAGAATTTTGAGACAAGGAGACTGACCTGGTGTTTCCCGGCTCTGACCAAGTTGACTCGATCACCCCTGAAAAAGACACCAATCAGGCAAACTTCAATATCCCGCTATGACTTCGCTGAAAAGGCAGGGGGTAGCAGGTAACAAGGTAGCCAAAAGATAAGCTTATAAGAAAAAAAGAACAACTCCTTAATTCATTAGAAAAATACCCATTCTCCACAAATGAAATGATGGCCTGCAAAGTGGCAGAGAATCCAGCAAGCTTGTGTTCATCTCCATATCTTCAAGTGAAATAAAAAAGAAAAATAAGAAATCCCAGAGAAAATTATATATGATGAAGAAGAAGTAGTTCAATAGTATATAGTACTCTAATTAATGAATGTCATTCAGTACTCCGGATGGGGGGCTTCAACACTGACCTTGAGTATATCGGTTTTCCTGAGTTACTCAAGACAAAGAAGTGCTTCTTTCTTTTTCTCCATGAAATAGAAGCATCATCCTGCACTTCATCAATCAAAAAAGTCAAAAGATAAACATGAATCATATCAACAATGGATAGTCTCCTTTACTTCCCCTGTGATGTTACTAAAGAATCAGTTTTAGTTGTCTGCATGTAAATTAGTTTCACCAACATAATTTTTGCGATAAAACAGTATAAAATATATTTTTTATTGTCTTTGCCATAGAGACAAGCTCCTAAACATACCTGGACTAGTCTTCTAACAATTCTAAACAAGACAAAGGATCATAAATTTCACTGCTAAGCGAGAGTTCAAACTGATGAAAATGCAGCCGGAAGTCTTGATTACTAGACTGTATGTATACATTGGGAGAAAATATAAAAAGTTGTAAACTTATACTTCCTCTGTCCCAATTTATGTAACACTCTTTCCTTTTTCGTCTGTCCATGATAAGAATGAAACTTTTCTACGCTCATAAACAATTTAACTTTAAACTTCTCATTTTACTCTTAACGAGGTGATCTATAGCCACATAAATTTCTATGGCTATACTTTGTGCCTATTCAAACACCCTCACATAAATTGGGGCAGAAGGAGTAAACCATAATTGCTACCACACCCACTACTTAATCTCAGTTCATGCCATCTAAAACCCAAAAGTGAAATTTCAGCCTACAAGTGGTCCTCAATTTGACCTTATTGCAGCCTACAAGTTGTCCTCAGTTTGACCTTACTATCAAGAATCAAAAATCCCCTGATTGCACAAGCTAACATTTAACAAAATTCTTCTCAAGTTATAACACTGTAGGATTTGCTAAACTAGCCACAACTACTATTTAGAGCTAAACATTCACCGTAGCTTCTGTTGGACTGACCTCACTGCCGTGGCGTTTCCCAGGAAGCCATTGCACTTGAGAGTCGGAAACTCCGTCAAAAGAATCACTATTCCCAATTTCGAGAATCTCACCATCGACCTCCTCCTCAATGCCAGAGGTCCTACTACTGGCGTTACTACTCCCTCTTTCACCCGCATAGCCACTACTACTAGGACTTGACGGCGCCTCCATTTCTTCCGAATTGTTCCTCCACATGGCACTCGAAGAGCTAAAGTCTTCCGCCACATTGATACGAGGCAGCTCTTCAGCTCCGGGATTCTCATTCAACGATCCATTCACGAGCTTATCCTGATTGGATGGCGAAGTATCCTTGGCATCATCGAATTCGGGTTCGGATTCGGGTTGACTGACTGAAATTGAGGACAATTGATTCTCGATGGCGTCCAAGGACTGATCAATAGAGTTGGAGCTAGGTCCAATCTTAGGTTTCCGATCATCGTCCGATAAGTCAGAGTCGGAAGGCATAGGTGAAGACTGTCAACGGCCGGGGACCGAAAACAGTAACAGAAGATTCAGTAGGATAGGGAAAAAGTAGGATGATTAACCTAACATTCAGCTAATACAGTAGTCGAAATTCAGTATCCGTTTCGTCCTACCAATCCAGATGTCTGTCTGCAATTCTTCGCTCCGCGCGCACAGAGCGAGTCACTTCTTCTGACCGGTAGGTGACTTCGCTTCGTACCGCGGAGATAAAGCGCTTGCAACGGTTGGACCGGTTCCGTATCTAAGCAACTTTGGGCTTTGAGTGTAAAGCTGTTTTTTAGATTGAACGTGGGCCTATAAATGAGCGTTAATTTGAAATGGATCCAAACAATACTCAAATAGTATACGCTTAACATGATATAGCCACTTTTAATGTTTCTTTAAGAATATAGCCATAATTTAAAAATCAATGCAAATATAACCAGTTATTTCTTGGATTGTTCCCGGACCTCAAGTATAGGAATGTACTGGGTATGTTGTTGTTGCTGTTGTTATTATTTCTTGGATTGTTATCCTTTTTCAGTTCAAACATTTGTTCATCGATCCATTTATGCATGCTGTAACTTTCTCCTTACCTTTAATTTTAGAATAATTTTTCAGAAATCACTATTGTTTAACGGCTATTAACTTCTTATAGCTACCGTATACATAATTACTTCCTATAACTGCTATTTAGTTGTTACGGTAATGTATTCATACAGTAGCAAAAAGCGCCTAAAAATCAGGGTAGTCCAGCTGTACACGCATTTATTCACATGTATTCGCGCCATGTATTCATGAATATAGCAGCAAAAATCGCCTAAAAATCATGGCAATCCAGTTGTACGCGCATGTATTCACATGTATTCATGCTGCTGTATTCATGAATACATCGGTAAAAACGCCTAAAATCAGGGCAGTCCAGCTATACGTGCATGTATTTACGTCATGTATTCATGAACACAACAGCAAAAAAAGGCCTAAAATCAGGGCAGTCAATCTGTACGTGCATGTATTCACATGTATTCGCGCTGCTGTATTCATGTATACAACAGTAAAAAGCGTCTAACATCACGGCAGTCCAGTTGTACGCACATGTATTCACGTGTATTCGCACCATGTATTCATGAATACAGTAACGACAATCATCTTAAAAATAAGTATATCCAGCTGTCTAAGAGAGAGGAAAAACATAAATAGCATATTTCATGCCTTATTTCATACCTCAGTGGTAGTATATACCATAAATACTTATTTTGCTATAAAATATAAATTGTAGCTATAGAAAATAATATTTTAAAATAATTTTGATTTATAATAAATAGGGTGTATACCATTGCTATACGAGGTAAAAATTTCTTAATTTTACAGGTGTTGTGATAAAAAATTCATCTTTGATATACCGAAATTGACATCGGTGATGTTCTTGAATTTTCTTAAACGAGATTGACTTGCACCTTATAAAATTGATGAATCAAAAATATATTATTTCTGTTTTACTTCTTTAGTAATGAGATTTTATTATTCTGCAAAAATATGAATACATTGGGGAGCAAACCATCAAAGATAAGAGGATAGGTTGTAAATCAAAAAATGAAGTCGACTTTAAGGAAGCAAAATGCAAAAAACTGCAAAATCTTGATAGGGAGCTCTCACTATTTAATAGCTCCTACGAATTAGTTTTTTTTTTGTAATCCCAGGAAAACCGCTATAGTCTCTGCCACAGTCTCTGCCCTTCGGGTAAGCACTCTGTGGTGAGCACTCTATGCGCACTGATTAAACCCCAATGTGTAATAAACTACATATCACACATAGGATGTAAACCGCACTAGACATGCCACGTGCGACTGGTTCAGACCCAAAAGGCACAGTGTGGACAACACCCCTTCAAACCAACTGGGCCTAAGAATTAGTTGGCCTGGTAAAATATTGAATTGTTATACGGAACAAATAAAAACACCAAAATGAAAAAGAAAAAAGATAAGACCACTAACCAGAATTGGCCCCTATATACCCATCAATTTGACAAACCGCCACTATCTTTAGTTCTCTACAAACCGGAATATTTAGAAATGCAAATGTTCAATAATTAGGCCGTCGATCTTTACAAATTACAATCTTTCGTCTCCGGAATGGCAGATTCCACTGCTCTGGCCTCTGGGTACCAATTTCTATCTTTGGAGTTTACTTTTATCCTTCGGTTATTCTCGAATTACATTGATCTCCTTCCCCATTTTCTTTTCTTGACTTGCCTGTAACTACTAGAATATTGAGTGTGAGTTATACTTTTTTTTTATTTACATTTTGATTGATTAAATCTTTAACATGGTATAATCATTGGGTCTTGATCCTTGAATTGGTACTTATTGTAGTGTGGTTTTACATTTTGATTGTTTGTTTGCTACCCCCACCCCCTTGAAATATTTGGTGAAACGGTACGAGTATACACGAGAAAGCGAAGTTTATGCGTCCTGAACTTGTCATGCAACTCACAAATCATTTTAGTAACCGAGTTCGTAATTAAATATTTATACATATTTAATAAATTATTAATACAAATACTGAGTCTAAAAGCTACTGGGTAAATAACATTGTGGCTCCGCCCTGCATATTTACTATATTACACCACTAATTGGTGGAAGTTGACACTCTCTGTCGGCAGATAAACCATACTTGAATGGAATTAGAATTTGGTGTCAGCTCCACTACGTAAGGTAAAGGCTTCATTGGCAAGTGTTGTTTCTTTTCTTCTTTTTTGGATCTTTGGTTTTGTGTAATGTGGCCAGCGATGTTGATTTCATTACGAAAATGGTTGGGATTAATGAGAGATAACATCCCAGAGCTGCTTAGCTGCAAGATTTGGACTATATTCTAGTTGCATTTTATTACTTGATTCGTAAGAAGAAGAATGTCATTTCTTTGAGCTAATATCAATTGGCATTTATGAATCAAGTTCAAGTTATGATAATTTTTGCTTTACTAAAATTAGACTGAGACAAGCTTATACGGAGAACATCTATAGTAGAACTAATGTGGTCTTTTATGTTAAACATATTGTTAATGCAACATGATATTTCTCGTGTCATTCTCATTTGGATTATCCTTGATAACTTATTCTTATTCCTTTTGTCTAGTTTTATGCTGGTTCTCCTGATAATTAGGAGAACTTTGTTGAATATTGCGAAAGAAAAGTTACCTTAGTTGGTGGCCGACTTCTTGATGAATATTTCTTTTTGTACCATAGTCAGATTACATCAGAAGAATCACTGATAGATAAGTCCAAATTTGATGGCTTTCCTACCAATTTCACCATCTTTGTCTTTGGCTAGGAGGGACATTTAAAACATAGCACTGAAAGGGCATCCTCAGCTGTGTGTGCTATGGCCTCCGCCCCAGAAACTGAAGCTTTTACCCCTGAAGACATATTCATCCTCTCCGGCCAAAGTAACATGTCTGGTCGTGGCGGAGTAGATAAGCATAATCATTGGGATGCAATTGTTCCACCTGAGTGCTGTTCTGATCCTGCCAAAATTTTCCGCCTTAGTGCACACCTCAACTGGGAGATGGCATGTGAACCACTTCACCATGATATTGATACGAAAAAGACCTGTGGTATAGGACCTGGAATGTCATTTGCAAATGCAATTAAGGACAAAATGGGAGCTATTGGCCTGGTGCCATGTGCCGTAGGTGGAACTGCGTTAAAGGAGTGGGGAAAAGGGACACACTTGTATGAGAACATGATAAAGAGAGCCAGAGCTGCCATGCATCAAGGTGGAAAAATTAAAGCATTGCTTTGGTACCAAGGTGAGAGTGATACATTATTCAAGCATCGTGTCGAGACCTATAAAGCTAATATGGAGAAGTTAATACATAATGTCCGTGCTGATTTATATATGCCCTTTCTGCCAATTATTCAGGTACTCTATCATAGTTTGTTTCAAAACTAATGCTGGCTAATTGAAATTTCATGAGATACCTTTATCTAAGCATTGTTTTGAATGATGAACTGATGTGAAGATCTATGGAATAAAGTTCTTGATCATTTTCAGGTACTCTAACTGCATGCATTATACATTGTACTATACGCAGGTAGCAATTGCATCAGGAGAGGGAAAGTATATTGAAGAGATAAGACGAGCACAAAAGAGGATTGACCTCCCAAATGTTGTTTGTATCGATGCCATGGGATTGCAACTCAAGGAAGATAAACTCCATTTAACGAGTGAGGCTCAGGTCAAACTAGGTCAAATGTTTGCTGATGCATACCTTACTCACTTTGCAGCCACAAAGCATTCTTCTGTTCACTCGTCAGTGAAACGATCCTTCTTTTGCTGTTGCCTTAACTAGATGAGCAGCTTATAGAAAGCGTTCATGGAAAAAGCTGTATCAGATCATTTAGTTGAGAAATGAACTACCACAAAACGAATTTATTAATTGTTCGTAGAAGAAAGCTAAATTATCTGTGTGAAATAGACGAAAAAAAGAAGCAACAGCTACATTTTTGCAAAGAAAGTAAAGATTTCATAACTAGCATTGGATCCGGCTTTAATATGTATAAACTATAAAGGATATGAGGAGAAGCACGAGAGATGGTGTAAGAATCATTCCGTTGTTCATTTAAGAAGCAAAATGGAAGAGAAAAAAAGAAAGAAGAGAAGAGAGCATGTAGAATTTTCGTACGTTCTGAAAATTGTTATAGTATCTACAATGTACAACAAGGAGATGACAAATAGAGTATCAAGTCCTTATAATTTATGGATTTTTATCATGTCTCTGTCATGTCCAGGCAGTCTTCTTTTTTCCTTTACTTTGTCAAATGCCATCCACTTATCGGCGTCCTTTCTATATACCAGAAATTGCTTTTTGAATTAACAATATCACGAACACTCTAATGTTTGAAACTTTCTACCCAATGCCATTGATAAAAAGCTGACAAATTCACAAATGTTCTTATGTCCCGACGACGACGAGAGCAAGACCATAGTGCAAAGGATGAGCACTTCTCTTCATTAACATTCAAGAATGCAACTTTCCCACCCCAACTGAACTGCAGCCAGGAGTTCTCCTTTGTCTCATCTCATGTCTAAGCATTACTTTCTCCTCCCACATGCCTTTGGCAGCATAAATATTAGACAATGCAACATCATCACCAACGACACTAACCTCTAACTTGCCTAATTTAGACCGAGCCACTGCAGCAAGTTCTACATTGCCATGAACGCCAGAGGCACCCAGTAATGTCCTCCATATTACTGCATTTGGCTGAATTGGCATTGCCAAAATAATACTATACGCCTCGTTTAGCAGCCCACAACGGCATAACATATCCACCAAGCAGCCAAAGTGAGAAAGCCTAGGCTTTAAGCCATACTCCTCAATCATACTTCTAAAATACCTTTTCCCCTCTTCCACCATTCCCGCATGGCTACAAGCCATTAAAACCCCTATAAACATGACATCATTGGGAACAAGTAATTGGTTCTTAGTCCCTCGGCTTTTACTTGATCTTGACTTGTTTTCTGCTTCCAATGCTGAAAACAGCCTTAGCGCTTCCTCTGCTTGGCCGTGTAATGCATGCCCAACAATCATGCAAGTCCAAGTCCTAACATCCTTTATTTTAACACTATCAAACAGCAACTTAGCTTTTCTGATATCCCCACATTTTACATACATGTTCAACAGAGCATTCATTAAACATAAATCCTCACTAAACTCCGGCTTTCGACTTATCAAATCATGAATCCACTCCCCTTTATCCAATGCCCCCAGATCAGCACAGGCCGATAATGCAACAGTGAATGTTACCTGATCAGGCTCCACGTCATCCATTTGCATTTTCCTGAATATCTCTATGGCTCTGTTTGGTTTCTGATTCTGCACATACGAGGAAATCAGCGAAGTCCAGCACACGACATTCTTATTGGGTATTTCATCAAACACCTGATGAACATCAGCGACATTTGCAGTTGCATCGTACATATCCATAAGCGATGTTTGAAGAAAAATGTTGGGTTCGTAGCCAAGTTTGATGAGTAGGGAATGGGCTTGTTTGCCTTCAATGGCCATGGATTTCTTAGTGCACGCTTTGATGACATACAGCAGAGAGTAGCTATCTACTGCAGAAATCTTTTTCCTCAGCAAGTCAGAGAACAGCGATATAGTCTTGATAGGATTAGATTTGAGGTAGCTTTTGAGAGTCAGGTTGAATCTTGCTGGTTTAAGATGTCTATGGAAATGGATTTGGGGTTGCGTTGCGCTTGTAAAATGTTTGGCCACCTTATGCAAGAATCTTTTCATCTCGTGAAAATGTGTTGAACTACTCTAAAGCGTACTTCATGGAGATAATTCTGCTGTTTTACAACAATCAGTCAAGGATGGCTAAATTCAAGCTAGTTGTGATCTCCTGTATGAATATTCTATATTCATTTCACTCTACTAGATAACTAGAGTATTATTTAAGCCTTTCATCCTATTTTTAAAAAATAATACTATTGGAAGAAAATACATAAATAGAAAGTGCTACTCCTACTATATTGTCACGGTATTCACTATTGATTTGAAACATTTTTGTCTGGGGTCATAGATCATTGGCCAGAGTTAGATTTAGAAACATTGTACTTAGTATTCTAAACATATTTTCAATTTTTTTTTTTTTGGACCGAAGTCCAAACATATTTCCAATTCCAATTCCAATTGACGAGTATCTCTTTGTGACTGCATAGAAAGGCTCATAAACAATTTGTAATAAGAAATATCAGCATCTTATATTATGTTCCTTTCACTTTAAAAGAAAGTCACTTTAATTTTATATATCTTGAAGGAATTAAGGGACAACTCCACTAGTAAACGACAGCCGGCAATTTGTCTCTGGTTTAAACAAGAGGCTGAATGTCAGTTGAAGAATCAGTTCCCGCCAAAAAGAGAGGATCAAGAGCTCTCCAACAACGTCTATTCTCTCTCTTGCAGAATTGCAAATCCATTAAACAGCTAACACAAATTCACGCCCCCATCATAACTAATGGCTTTACCCAGAAAAACTTCATTCTTGTTAGACTACTTTCTCCGTTTTTAACATCTTACAATCTCAAATATGCCGATCAAGTTTTCTATCATGTCCAAAATCCAAGTACCACCCTTTGGAACCAAATCATCAGGGGTTATGCCCGTAGCGAAAACCCACAGAAATCTGTTGAGCTTTTTAATCTAATGGAAAAATCGACTGCTACGCCCGATGGTTACACATATTCCTATGTACTTAATGCTTGCGCAAAAGGGAGTTTGTTCAGGGAAGGTCAGCAGCTTCATGGGAAGATTTTAAAAAATCGGTCTTTGCTAAATGTGTTTGTTCAGACCAATTTGGTTAATCTGTATGCAACTACTGGAGAGGATTACGGCGTTGATAATGCGCGCAAGGTGTTTGATGAAATGAATGAGAAAAATGTCGTGACTTGGAACTCATTGCTTTTTGGTTATTTCAGAAATGGGGATGTTGATGAGGCTCTTAGAATTTTCGATGAGATGCCAGATAAGAATGTTGTTTCCTGGACAACGGTGATTGCAGGAAGTACGCAAAACGGAAGATGTCAACAAGCACTGGCTTTGTTTCGCTTGATGCAAAGTCGCTATGTGGAATTTGATCAGGTGACTTTGGTTGCCGTTTTATCAGCGTGTGCTGAATTGGGAGCTCTGGATCTGGGGAAGTGGATTCATTCAAGTTTTGTTGAGTCCTCACAGTTTAGGAGTGAGCCAGTGCTGGTGTCATTGTACAATGCACTTATACATATGTATGCTAGTTGTGGTGAAATAGAGGAAGCTTATATGGTATTTCAGGGGATGCCGAGAAGAAACTCAGTTTCTTGGACCACTATAGTCACAGGTTTTGCAAAACAAGGGTATGCACATGAGGCTCTTACTATTTTCCAGCAGATGGAAAGCTGGGGAGGAAATGATGTTAGACCGGATGAGATAACGTTCTTGGCTGTTCTGTTTGCTTGTAGTCATGCTGGTTATGTCGATGAGGGGCATCGGTACTTTAAATGTATGAAAGAAACTTGGGGTGTGGAGCCGAGGATTGAGCACTATGGATGCATGGTTGATATGTTAAGTCGTGCCGGACTTTTTGATGAAGCCGTGGCACTTGTTGAGGCAATGCCTATGAAGCCAAATGAGGCTGTTTGGGGTGCTCTTCTTAGTGGATGCAAGATACACAAAAATGTGAGACTAGCTTCTAGCGTAGCTCAAAAGTTGGCTGTGGAGCTTGAACCTGATAGAGCTGCTGGCTACTTTGTGCTCTTGTCAAATCTATATGCAACTGATAAGAGGTGGCGAGATGTTGTCGTCACGAGACAGAAGATGTTTGGAATAGGAGTGAAAAAGCCTCCAGGTCAAAGCAGAATCGAAGCTGAGGGTACCATTAACAGTTTTCTGGCCAGTGACCTAAATCATAAGCATGCTTGTTCAATCTATGAGATGCTTGGTCTGCTCACTGGTCAAGCCAAATTGCAAGGTTACCAGCCAAGTGTTTCAGAGGAGGAACTAATAGTTTGAAGTACATCCGTGACAATTTGCATTTTCGCATGGAGTGAAGCAGCACTTCTTCCACCGGAATCAAGTGTCTGGAAACACATCCCGTTTCACCCAGTTGAGCCTCATTCCCCTAGTGATTTACTGGTGGACAAGTAATTTGCATGGTACATCTTTTCCTTTCAGCAGCTGAATGGCAATGGGAAGTCTTCTTCTGGAGATGGGGAATAGGTATCTCCAGATAACAATGGTATTACAAGATCTGGACTACATCAACAAACACAATGTGAGTTCTTAAATATCTCAAATGGATGATGAAGGCATGATCTGTTGAGGTTTTTGTTATTTAAGGATGAAATAGTCTTAAAATGAGGGTGAATGGGAAATGGAGGGAAAATGAAATTTTTGAGTAAAATTTTAAGTTTCCCCCTCTTGACAATGAGACATTGTCCCATATTGGAAGAGGAAAAGATTTTTGGTGGGTATATATATAATTGCTCTTCTTGTA